GAAACTGTCCTCATCGCCCTGGAGACCTTTGGGGGTGGGGGACACTGCTGATGCCGTCACTTAGTCGGTGACAAACATGCCACACACCTACCTGCGCCGTTCTTTCGGTCTCCCAGCAGCTCTGGGCATCGCTGTGCTTGTAAGCAGATGCTCAGAAAGGTAAAGGAACTTGGTAAAGGTCACACAGCAACTACCAAGTCACAAGACTGACTTTAGAGCCAGGCTCGGATAATATCCTATCCTCTGGAGGGGAAAAGAACACAGCAGCCCTTCCGCGTGAGCCCTACTCCCTCCAACTGGGATATCTGCTGAAAAGGCTGCAGACCGTCACCTTTGGGAGCTGCAGAGAGCTGTGCACTGGAATCTTCCAAAGTAAGAGGGACCAGAGAAGGCGGGGAGGTGTGACTGGCAGGAAAGAAGCCTCCCAGAGTAGACAATGCCGGGAACCATGGGCTGACATCGTCACTCTGGCTGGCTGCTCTGGCATGGCAACGCAAACAAAGGCACAACAGGTGGAAGCTGGGGCAGGCTGGGGAGCTGATTCAGTGCCCTGCCAGCTGTCCTCATCTCCGAGGGCATGCTGTTCATCCACTAACCTGACAGTAGCCTGAACTCATTCTCAGATTTCAGCTTCCCCCACAGTACTAATCCAGCAACTCTGATCCTTTAAGAAAGTCAGCTGTTGTTAAGCCCAGCATTTTAAAACCAAAGTTTCCCAGCCCTGTTCCTTCTCACTCCCAATCCCCATTCCCCTAGCCCCAACTGTTGTTTTCAGCACCTACCGACTCCACCACCGCACCGCCAGAAGGGCACACAATGCTTAAAGTGACATCTTTGAGACACTTGGTGGATTTTTAGATACGCATGTCCCTGGTGGCCGGGGGCAGTTTCACGGGTGTTCTTACAGTGAACCTGAAGATTCGAACCTCTTAATTTGCAAGGATTTGTAGGATTTTCTGGGTCAAGAGAGGAGGGAACCAGCTTCACAAGTCACCCCAGGTTGCTCACAGGAACAGGAAGAGCAAAAACTACTGGGTGATAGTACTCATTTGTAAACTTTGAGCTATTTTTCTTTTGTTGAGTGAGGGTCCCTTATGTAGCCCAGGCTGGTTTTGATCTTGTCTACCTGCCGCTACTTCCCAGGAACTGTGATTACAGGTGGGGCTCATCATGCTCAGCTATTACTCATTCCTTATAGATTTATAGTACTTTTGAGGCAGGGTTTCATATAGCATAGGCTGGCCCTGAGCTCCTCATCCTACTGCCTCCACCTGAGTGTTGGAATTACAGACATTTTCTAGATATTACCCATCGACTGTGTTGGAGACCATGTGGCAAATAAATAAATATTCTTTACCTGTTAGAGATGCTTACAGGAAGGTGTGAGAAATGATCCACTCGGGGTCTGTTTACCGTGGTACTAGAGATTGAATCTAGAGCCTTGCACATGCTGGGTAAGTGTGTCCTCATGGCTTCAGTGTACCTCTCCCCCCTTTAAAGATAGGGTCTCATGTAGCTCTGGCTGGCTTCAACCTTATGACATAGCAGTCTGGCTTTGAACTTCCAGTCCTCCTGCTTCTGCTTCCTAAGTGCTGTATTACAAGTCCTTGTCCCCCAAACCAGCTGTCCTCCTGACATGTTTGTTTTTTTAGTTATTTTTGAGGCACTGCCTCATTAAATTGCCCAGGCTGGCTTTGAACTTGTAGTCCTGTCTCACTTGCCCTTCCTTCTGACAGGATTTACTTTTAAAACAGCCTATCCCTGCCGGGTGATGGTGGTGCACACCTTTAATCCCAGCATTCGGGAGGCAGAGGCAGGCGGATCTTTGTGAGTTTGAGATCAGCCCGGTCTACAAAAAGGTTTGGGTGATTGGGAGATACACGTGAGACTAGCAAAATATTGATAATTATCAAAGCACAAGAGATACATGGGAATTTATTAGTCCAATTCTTGTGTCTCAGATTACATTAAAGATGAAAGTAATTTAAAAAAGCAGGAGAAAAAAAAGGGGTAGGCAGAACTGGCTCAGCCATCATTTTGATTAAATGCCTAAGGAAACTTAAACAGAGGGAAGTTTTATTTGGGCTCTCAGTTTTGTAGGTTTTGCTCTGTGGTTGGATGTCTCTGGTTTCCGGACCTATTGGGAGGCAGGAAGGGCTGAGGAAGAGCTGTAATGATCTGTTCTGTCCCTTTAAGAGACAAGCCACGCCCCTCCCTATCTGCCAAGGCTTGTGTGTGTGTGCTCTTCTCCCTTTCATAACCTACTAAATAAATATCCAACCTCACTCTGCATGGCTGCCTATCTGTCTCTCACCCTCCTGCATGGTTCCCTGCCTGGATCCAGCAGCCTTCGGAGATCTGTGGTGTGGTCTTGTGTGCTGTCCCTGCCTGGGACTGGCTGCTCTCAGGAACCCCTGCCTGCCCCAGGTTGGGGGCCTGTGGCATGGTCTCATGGCCCGCTGCCCACTGCAGCCACTCGGGAACCTGCAGCATTTTACTTTTACCATTACAAGAGCTGCTCAGAGAACAGCTGCCAGGAAGCAGAGAGGGCAGGATGGGGGTCTTGATGCTGTGAAGGGCAGGCTGCTCGAGCAGGTCAAAGACATGAAGTGATTGACTGGGGATATAGTGGTGGTGGCGGAGCATGTGCTGAGCATGTGTCAGGCCTTAGGTTCAGTTCACAGACTGTCTGTGCAGAGGTGGACATGCACACATGCATGGAATGAGACCCTGGAACACTTTATTTAGGATTTATCAATTTGACACAAACCTAGACATACCCGAGAAGAGGAAATTTCAAACTGCTTCCACCACACTGGTCTGTGAGAAGTTTCTAGATTGCTGGTTGGTGTGGGAGGGCCCAGCCCACTGTGGGTAGTGCTGTCCCTGAGCAGGTGGGCCTGGGTTGTATAAGCTAGCAAGCCAGCAGGAGCAAGCCAGGAAGCAGCACTCCTCCACGGTCTCCACTTCAGTTCCTGCCTTAGTTTCCTACTATGATCTACCCTGTAAACCAAATAATCCCTTCCTTCCTTGAATTAGCCAGGGTTCTCTTGAGAAACATTCATTTTATATATAGAATGAATATCAATATAATACATAATGGATAAATGATATATTAAAAACACATACATATAACATACACCACAGAAATCCAAGAATCCAGTAGTTGTTCAGTCCAGGAGGCTGTATGTCCCAGCTGGTCTTCAGTAGATCCCAGCATCCTGAAATAGGCTCTAATGCCAGTGAAGGAATGGACCTGCCAGCCAGCGAGAGCAGGTACACGATGTAGGCTGCCACCAAAAGGTGTGGCCCAAGATTATGGGTGCATCTGTCCTCCTTAAAAGATCTGCATTAAAGGTGTGTCATCTCACTTCAAAGATCAAGATTAGAAGTGTGTCTGCCCAGTTACAATGATTTCTCTCCCTTCCTCCCTCCCTCCCTCCCTCCCTCCCTCCCTCCCTCCCTCCTTCCCTTCTAAGACAGGGTTTCCCTGCACGACAGCTCTGGTTGTTCTGGAAAACTTGATTGTAGATCAGCCTGGCCTTGAACTCACACAGATGCACCTACCTCTGCCTCCTGGTATGCTGGGATTAAAGGTGTGTACCACCACTGCCCAGCCTGAAATGATTCATTGAAAAAAACTCTCACAGATGTACCCAGCTGCTTGGGTTTTAGTTAACTCCAGATGTAGACAAGTTGACAACCACACTCCCCAAGCTGCTTTTGATCAATGTATTATTCCTGTAACAGAGATCAAGGCCAGCCAGGCGATGGTAGGTAGCGTGGTGGCACAGCCTTTAATCCCAGCACTCGGGAGGCAGAAGCAGGCAGAGCTTTGAGTTCAAGGTCAGCCTGGTCTACAGAGTGGGTGCCTGGAAGGGCTCCAATGTTATAGAAAGAAACCCTGTCTTGAAAAACAACACAGAGACCAAGGCCAATCCTCATCTTCTTCCTGAATGGAATAAAGCCACACACATCCTAGACAAGTCCACAGGGTCCCCTCACTCCTGTCATATCCAGCTTTAGAATATTTTATCACTCTGGAGCTTCCCCAAAGGTCCATGTGTGGAAGGCTTGGTCCCCAGTTTGTGCCACTACTGTGAGGTGATGTAACTTTTAAGATGGATTTTGTGGAAGAAAGCTAGGTCAGTGGGGCATGCCCTCCACAGCATCAAGAGCCCTATCCTGGCTGGTCATTGGTGGCGCACGCCTTTAATCCCAGCACTCGGGAGGCTGAGGCAGGCGGATCTCTGTGAGTTCGAAGCCATCTCTTTCACCTTGAGCCCCTCCAGCCCTGTTCTAAGACAGGCACTTCTGTTGGCAGAAAGCTCTCAGAACCCACAGAGGCAACACTTTCACAGGCAAAGAGAAATCAGGGCTGTTTAATTAGAGTCAAGAGTCGCTTGTTCTTGGCTACAGCACTTAACATGCAATCACATCACCTCTTGGTACAGAAACGGCACCCTGTCCTTCCCTGGACATAGGACTCCTGGGCACCTTGATCTCCCTATCCGCCAGAAGCTGCCCTCTTGCCCTGACAGTGGTAAGTTCTCTCCTGCCCAGAGGAGCTGGGAAATGAGGTCACTCGTTCAAATGAGTAGCCACTTACAGTACAGCACCATTGACTGGCCAATGGAGTTGATATTTTCTCAACTTCCAATCAAGAACTTGTATTATGTAACCCGTCTCTGATGAGCCCAAAGGCACTTGAGAGTCTGGCTGTGCCTCAGGGTCACCTGTTTTCACTGGACTAAAGATGAAGAGATATGAAAAGTTTGCCGAGTCTGCCTTCGCCCTGAGAATCCAGTCTGGAAAGAGCTCATTTCAGTAAGGCTGGGACGCCCAGCTCTCTGCATCATTCTGTAGGCTCAAGTGAATAGGGCAGGGAGCTCTATGCTGTTCAGCCAAATTTTCTAACTTCTGGTAGAGAGAAAATGTGTATAACTCGTGTAAAGAAAGTTAAACAATACGAACAAGAAATTAAGGTAAAATGCAGGGTGTTTGGATCCTAAGAAAACAGAAGTTTACTGTGGCTGGAAGTCAGGCTGACTGAACATAGTCACTGGCTATAGCTGACAAGTCTCCTTACAAACATGGAGTTTTTGCTAAGTTTTGAGATATTCTCAGCAGCTTGGGATAGTCCCCTTTCTCTGACACCCCTACTAGAGTCACCTGAAGAATGTTACAAACTTTAAGACAGCACTCACCCAGAACTCCTTTCCTCTAGTTTCCAACATAAAGGGGAACCCAGCTCAGACAAGAACGAGCCTCGCTATGCACCCGCCAGCCCCTGCACCCTCCTTTTTTATTCTCAGAGGCTCCAGCTCCACGGAAGTTACAAGGTTAAGTGCTACTGCAAGTTCCCAACACAGCGGACCCCGCTCGCGGTTAGAAGATGGATGTCTGCAGTTCCTTCTTGAACATTCCTTCAAAGTGGAGGTCTCTGGCCATGAGCTCTTCTTCCACATCATCGAGTGCCCACTGGTGATCTGTCAGCTCCAAAGCTTCCCACTCTGTCTGCACAGAAGAGAACACAGGGCTGGGAGGTGACCTTGCCACTGAGCTGACAGCTGGGGACGGCATGGCTTGACCACTGCTCTTACCAGCGGCTGAGGAAGGCTGGTTGTGTGTGTGAGCTCCCTGGATCTTGTGAGGCAGGAGCCCAGATGCCTCCCAGCTGGATGAGCTTTCTTAAAACAATCTTTTTTTTTTTTTTTTTTTTTTTTTGAGACAGGGTTTCTCTGTGTAGCCCTGGATATCCTGGAACTCACTCTGTAGACCAAGTAGCCTCTAATTCAGAGATTCTCCTGCCTCTACCAGGATTAAATTCATGGACCACCGTGGCAGGCTTATTTTTACCTTTTATCATAAAAAATGTAAGATTTTATTGTATAAAAATGATATCAAGGGGGCTGGAGGGAAGGCTCTGCAGTGAAGAAGCAACGACTGCTCTTGCAGAGGACCTGGGTTCAGTTCCCTATACCCACAGGGCAACTCACAACTATAACTCATGCCTATAACTCAAGTGCTAGGGTATGTGATGCTTCTTTTGACCTCTACAGGCTCCTGCATGCACATGGTGGATATACATACATAATCTTAAGCACACAAACATGCATATAAAATTTAAAAAATATTTTCAAAAGTAAACAAGAGTATACTGTAATTAGAGTAATGTGAATACGGTTTCTTTCCTCTCCCCGGTTATGAGGTGGGTAACATATATAGTGCGGACACACTGGACAAAGTGATTTATGTCCTGGGTAGGGCGGGACAGAACATGCTCCTCATTTTGGGTTGATTTGAATGTGGTCCACAGACCAGAGAATGTGCAGCTGTGGCTAAGGGAGGACTGCTTAAGACTGTGATGTCCCCGCAACTCTGAAAAGGGAGCGCTGCATACCTTGAAAGCTTTGTTGGTGTCTGCAGGCATGGCCATGGCTGCTCCTGTCATCTGCTCCTGCATCATTCGTGACTGGTCAGCAGCTGCAGCATAAGACAAGTCCAGTGAGGACCAAGGCTCCCAGACACCCAGGACCCTTGTGGAAGAATGAGCGTGACAAAGTACTATAGCTACTTGGTGGTGGGTATGAGAACTGGACAACTGACTGGCCCTCTCACACCTGCTATGGGATTCTGGGAAAGTCCAGGGAAGTGGGGGTGATTGCAGCTAGAACAGAGACACAATTAAAGGGTGCTCTAAACTTTATTTTAAATGTCAACATGAAATAGACACCAATTACTGAGCAATGCTGTATGTCCAGGTAGTTCATTGTTTTATCTTTTATCTACTCTTAATCCCACAGGGCAACTACTAAGACCTTACTGTATAGAAAAGCAAACAGTGGATAGAGTATCTGAGGTCCTCACCACTGAACAAGAGCCAAACTTAGCACTGGAGAGGAATCTGCTTAATAAAAGAGCTGAACCAGCCAGGCCCTTCTTCTGGCTTTAGGTTCACAGGTGTCAGACTCTGAGCAACCAAGTATGCTCAGTGATTGCTGGGAGAAATGCCCGCGTACAGGCTGAGCTTTCCTCAGAACCTCATAGGATGGAGCACCGTGTGGAAAAATGCTAACCAACAGCAGGACACACCTGACTGTTGTACCCCAACAAGAAGCAGCTGCTCACTAGTCCACTATGCCTCTTACCATTATCCTGGCCCAGGATCAAAGAGTAAATGCTCCGGAGCCCAAAGACATTGAGGAAGTACCAGGATGCAGAACTTACCCTAGCAAAGCAAGGGGGAAGAGTAGGAAGGTTATTAGGGACAGAGCTCACACCGGCACCACCCATAGCTGCTCACGGTATGTGAGAACCAGACAAGCTCTAGACAGCCAAGGCTCAACCAAAGAACAAACGGCACGGTGACACAGAAAGGCCGTCCTCTGACACAGTGCAGGTGACACTGAAGGAGGCAGCCCACTCTGAACCACATCCTCCAGCGAAGTCAAAGATTAGATTTAGAAGGCATTTGCAGTGCTAAGGATAATGGCTACTGGGAACACAGTCCAACTTTGGAATTTCATCATTTAGCCCTTATCTTAAGGTTTCCCATCCAGCTTGGGAACCCATAAATGTGCTTACACACAATGGAAACCAAAGGGCGAATGAAAAATGCTGCCCACACGGGAAGACTGACTCGTCACTGGGTAGGTTCTGGCTACTGCATTAGACCTCCGATGAGCACATGCTCTGCCCCGCCATGCAGATGCAAACACTGCAGCTGCACTGCCCATCCAGGAACGTGGTATACATTTCTGTCCAAATGCTGAGAAAAGAAAACTAAGCTTTTCTCCAACCCAATGAGCCTGGCAGAGAAAAGTTCAATGGAGTCACATGGCTTGTGTGTAGCTTTTCTTCTCCTGCCAAGCAGGGTGAGGCCAAAACTCTCCTATATCTGCTCTGCCCTGGGCTCACACACCAGAGATGGATCTGCTCAAACCAGAGAAGTCAAAATTGCTACTAGACCCTCCTCCTTTTCTTGATTGAATTTGTTTCAGGCCAGTCCTTGAGAGGTCACAGACAGAACAGTCTGGAAGGACCACAGAAGTCGGTGTTACTGTACTGCGGGTACCAGACCAGAGTTCCAAGATGGTTTTAGATTCTGGCTTGGTATTATCCATGGAGTGGAAACAGGTGCTGAGTACTGGTTATGGAGAGGGTGCATGTGGTCCTATGTCCATTCTTTCACAGACCTCCCAGGGCTGCTGTGAGGATAAGGTAACATAAGGAGAACACCTAGTCTGCTGACTGGATTTCAGGAAAATGATAGTATAAACATTTCTATAATTTGGATCTAGAACGTACTTTTAAAAAGTCCATGTATTAGCCAGACATGGTGGCACATGCCTTTAATCCTAGCACTAGGAAGACACAGCAGAGACAGTAGGATTGCTGTGAGTCTGAGGCCAGTCTGGTCTTCAAAATGAGTTCCAAGACAGCCAGGACTATGTAGAGAGACCCTGACTCACAAAAAGCACACACACAGACAAGCTCATGTATTAAAGGTTTGGGCCCTAGTGTGTGGTACTAATGGAAGGTGGGGAGCCTTTAGGAGATGGAGGCCTTGTGGGCAATTTTAGGTCACTGGGAGCTTGCTCCTAGAAGGGGACTGTAGGAGTCTGGACTCTTCCTCTTTCTTTTTGTGTTCTGATCATGAAGCTTCACTCCATGACACTGCCATCTCTACCCCATCACAGATCCAAAGTCATGAGACTAGAGGGACTTGAACTGAGCCTCCAAAACCGTGAGCCGAGATCCACCTCTCCTCTTTAGAAGCTGACCCTGTAAGCATTTGTCACAGTAATAGAAAGCTGACTAGCCCACACTTCCATTCTCATCCGCTTCAGGGCGCTGCGAAAAAGCTTTGTGTGGCCAGACTACTTAACCATTCCATTTTGGAGGAGTGTGGGAGGAAGTCAATACCTTCGCTTCTGAGTTCCTAAGATCTGAGAAGACAGGTTGATAAACCATCTCTTTTGGCAAGACTCCGCAAAACTGTTTTAGTCCATCAGTGGCATTTTAAATAGAAGTTTCATTTAAAAAAATAATAATAAAAAATAAAAGAAAGAAAAGGCAAAATCTCTCAAACTGAAATAATCTCACTCTAATAAAACAAAAATTCGAACTCTGTGGGGTCTTGGCTGTGGTCTCATCGCCAGCAGGCTTACCAGGACGCATCTAGTGTGAGCAGCTCTATTCCTTGCTGGAGCATGGGCTTGAAGCGAAGTGTCAATGGAAACGGGACCTTAGCTGCAGCAAAAAGAAAATACCAGGTTTTTACTTCAAGAAAGTTCCTAGGCACCCAAGCCAGCCAAAGTGCGAACACACACATTCTTTCCCCGAGGAGGTGGGAACTTGGCGCCATCCAGCTTCTGGAAAATGACTTCCACAAGGAAACAGGTGGCAGCCTCTGAGAACAGAACAGCCAAAATGTCACTCTGCCCTCGTCTTCCTAAAGGATTCCAGTTTCTAGACTGTGGAGGAAGCAGGTGCTCAGGATGAACCGTGACCCAACATTTGGAAGAAGTGTGCCCTGAAGCCTAGGTGAGAAACACATACAACTAAAGCAAGTCTCCCAAGTTACAAAGCGTCCACATTGGAAACTTGAATTAGCTTGAAACTAAAGATTTTTGTTCAAAGAATGTTGGCATTTTCACGAGAAAAGGCACTGCCCACGCTGTGACATTAGTTCTCAGTGGCACTGGGAAAGGGTCTCCAGACCTAACTTACTTGTGACAAAGCCTGAGAAGGTCATGTTGATCCAGCCGCCGATAAGAATCATGGGGAGGACGTTCGTGACATTCCCCTTCATCATGTCTGTGAGCATGGTGGGATCTGAGAAAAAAGAGAAGAGAATACAGCTCCCTTTGTTGGTGGAGGCTTCCCAAATTTAACCCAGACAGTCGTTTTGGTTTTGGTTTTGGTTTGAAACAATAGGGACTTATTATGTAGACCAGCCTGGCCTTGAACAGAGGTCTGCCTATCTCTGCTTTCTGACTTCTGGGATGAAAGGCCTGTGCCGCCCACCTGGACAGCCACAGGTTTGCTGTACAAGTTCAAACAATCTAAGAGCATAACATGTAGACAGTTCCTCTCCACCCACTCTCTAGATCCTTTAAGCTCTCTGTTGCATATTTTCTGATTTTCTGTTTGCCTTCCAAAATTTAATAATTTTATTAACAAAGGCTGAAGATGTAGCTCAGGGGCATAGCACTGTCTACCATGCTGGAGGCTGTAGAGCAGCCCTCAATATCAAAAAAGGAAGAAAAAAAATAATTTTTGATAAAATTTCCACATTGCCATAGTACTGGTATCTAATCTATGTGTGTGTATGTGTGGGTGTTGGCCTGCATGTATATCTTTGCATTCATGGCCTCTTGCAGAGGCCAGAAGAGGGCATCAGATTCCTTGGAACTGGAGTTACAGACAGTTGTGAGCTGCCACATGGAGCTGGGAACTGAACTGGGTCCTCTGCAAGAGCAGTCAGTGCTCTTAAGTGCTGAGTTATCTCTCCAGCCCCAGACCTCTCCAATCTCAACCTTTTCTGTCAGGAAATGCTGCTGCTGCCTTGTAATAGGTAATAGATCAATCTGCTTATTTATGTGTTTCTGAGGAGTAATTCTTCTTAGAAGAAAATTTGGATCAAATGGTTTATACATTTCAAATTAAGAGGTATTAGGGGCTGGGATGTAGCTTAGTACTGGGATGATAGTGTAGCATGCCCAAGGCCCTGGGCCCCATATCCAGAGACAGACTGCCAGGAGTAGGTGGTGGGGTGTGTGTGTGTGAGAGAGATTGCCCATCAACAAGACCCCATTATTGGGTATTATCAATGGCAACAGGACCTAGCTTGTTTTGACCTTGACAATCATGGCTTTGGACAATCTTATTTTTGTCAGTTGAACAAACTAAAAAGATATCTTGCTAGGTTAGTGAGGTAATTATCTTTTCTTGTGTATGCTGGCCATCTGATGCTCTAAAGTGTCTGTGTGGATCAGAGCTGGTATCTCAGCTACAAGAATGAGACTGGAAAGAGAAGACTGTCAACAGAAGAGCAGACTGCTTTGGTTCACTTTACATGTAGTTTTCACAAAACAGGAAAGCCAGTTCAGGGCTGTAGGTTAGTGTGGGCAATCAAGACAACTGCTCTTGGGAAGGAAGGAGCTCACCATTCAGGCAGAAGATGCAGGGTACCATCTGCCAGCAACAGATCTAGGACTGATAGGAAGACAGACCAGAGACAACGGCCCTGACCTCCCCAATATCAGCTGAGACACTAGGATTCAGGGATTTATTGGAAAAAAGAGGGCTCCACTTGCAAACACCTGCATATTAGGGGCTGGGATGCATGCAGCTCGGTGGGAGAGTATTCACCTAGCATATAAGAAGTCTTGGCTTCCATCCCAGACACTGAAAGAACCTCAAAAAACCATCATACTCCAATTAGATGGTTCCGAAGTCCTTTCCATCACGATCTCCGCAACGCTTAAATAAGCACCCATGTCCAATAAACATACCTGTCATAGGAGAAGGCGGCACAACCTTCCTTTTAGTTTTTTTGAAAAATCCATCCTCTGGGTTGTTGAAGTAATATTTTCGTGTCAAGAAAGACTAGTAGAAAAAAGAAAATCTATTTATTTATTTATTTATTTATTTTTGGCTTTTTCGAGACAGGGTTTCTCTGTGGTTTTGGAGCCTGTCCTGGAACTAGCTCTTGTAGACCAGGCTGGTCTCGAACTCACAGAGATCCGCCTGCCTCTGCCTCCCCGAGTGCTGGGATTAAAGGCGTGCGCCACCACCACCCAGCTAAGAAAATCTTTTTAAATATGAGAATTGTGACACAGTTAATTGTCAAGTTATCCCCCAGGAGACCGACTAAAGGCCCTGGAATACACTTCTACACTCTGAGCTGTCAGTCTCCTTGGCAGCCAATCTGACACTTTAGCTAAGTCACACTTAAAAACCATTTCCTAAGAAGGGTGAGGGCACAGCGACAGCAAACACAACCAGGCTGCAGCTAAATAACCGGTGGCCCCCTCCATCCAGTTTTCTCAAGAGCCCTCTTGTAAAGCGTCTAGGTTTCTACTGCCCTCAGAGGTGAACGGTGGAGCTTTCTCATAAGAGATGAGCGCATACCTGTTTGGGGATGTATTTTCCATTTTCCCTGAGGACTCTGCTTCGAATTAGGACTTGACTGAAAAACGTAAGACAAAGAGATGTTAAACTGTGAAACGCCAGAAGAAACGAGAGGGTGGAGCAGCAGATCCACTTAAGCCTAAGAGAGGACCTGTTTTGGCAACAGCTGGGTGTGGAAACTTTCCAAACCCCGAAAAATCAATGGACCATCTTCAACTCGCCTCTCAGCTTCTCACAAAAGGTCTCTTCCAGAGGGACTGTGTCCTGAACAAATAAAGGTTTCTGCGGAAGGCAATCTGGGACATTGCACTTGGCCTTTCTGGATTCGACATGAGTCACAAAGGAACTTTCCTTGCAAGGAAAGAGTAGATGGCTAGTGCTCCAAAGACTTGGAGGCAGGAGGGGGAGAAAGGCGAGGGCAAAGGACCCAGAGAAATGAGGACAGGCCTCGGCTCAAGAAGGCCGTTACCTGACACACCCAGGACTCAGACCAACTTCCTTCAAACTCTTCAGCAGTTACCGAATTCATTATTGGTGATCTTTAGGGCAAATAATATGCAACCGAAGTAAAAACACTGCCTTTCCCCCACGGTTTTCAAAAGCTGTTTAATGGGGAGGGGAGCCCTTAAGTCAATGGAAGTTCTTGGAGAGCGAGAAAACTAAAAGTGTAGGCAGAAACACACACAAGAAAACCACGGTCAGCTTTCTGGTGCAGCTCGGCACAACCACAGGCTCCCAGCAGTCAGAGCCAGCGGGGTCGGCTTGCCACCTTCTAGAGGCCCAGCTGCTGCGTGTGCTGGGTCTGCTCTGCTGCCAGCTCCACTTGCCAGTTTTACTACACCATGCCTCAGCTCCTTCCTTGAGCTCATATTCCACCTCGTGGAACTCCAGCTGCTTTCCCTCCTCTTGGATTCACGACTGTCCACAGTTGTCTGCCTTACACACAGGCCCACAGCAGAGATGTGTGATATCTCTGTCCTCTGGGAGCTGGCTACAGATGCTCCAAGTATGGACTACGTGCCAATGCTGTTCTGTGAGAAGCTAAAGTCCAGACAGACAGTAGGAACTGGGAAACTTGGGCCTGGTTAAGAACTCTGACTGCTCTTCCAGAGCACCTGAGTTGAAAGCCCAGCAACCACATGGCAGCTCACAACTATCTCTAACTCCAGTTCCACAGAATGCAATGTTCTTTATGGATTCCTTGGGCAGTGCATGCACATGGTACACAGACATACATGTAGCTGAAACACCCATACACATAAACTAATAATAAAAATGTTTAAAAAAATAATTTGGAGACTTTTATAATCTCTTGTCCGTATTCAGATACCGGCTGTTATTTTTATACAGTCTCACCATGTAGCCCTGTCTGGCCTCACAGAAACCTACCTGCTCTGCCTCCCGAAAACTGAAAGTAAAGGTGAGTGCCACCATCCCTGGCCTTCTGTGACTTATAAACTATGATCTTGGGCAAGTCATATCAATTTCCTAAACTGTCACTTATATCTGTACAAGCACAGAATTAGACTTTTACTGAACACATATTTCTTAAACTTGTAAGTGCCAGATACCATGTTAGTACCATAAACAAATATGAAAATGCAAACTTCAGCCGGGTGGTGGTGGCGCACGCCTTTAATCCCAGCACTCAGGAGGCAGAGGCAGGTGGATCTCTGTGAGTTCGAGGCCAGCCTGGTCTACAAGAGCTAGTTCCAGGACAGGCTCCAAAGCTGCAGAGAAACCCTGTGTCGAAAAACAAAAAGAAAACACCAACTATAGGAGCGAATGTGAAAGTGAACTGTCATATCCTAAGGAGACTGGTAGCATTATGGGAGTGTATGACAGAGAGAGCGAGGCAAGAAGAAACTGCTGAGGATGTAGGATTAGGTAGGAATCTTTTACTATTTTATTTTATGTATATGCATGTTTTGCCTGAATGTATGTCTGTGTACCACTGTGTGCCTGGGGCCCTTGGAGGCCAGAAGCGGGCGTTGGATCCCCTCAACTGGATAAACCTATGGGTGTAGTGCATGTTGAGCCACCATATGGGTGCTGGGTATCGATCCCAGGTTCGCTACAAGAATAAATGCTCCTAACCACTGAGCTATCTTTCCAGCCCCATGGCTAGGAATCTTAAGGATGAATGGGAGTTGCCTAGCAACAGAATGTTGTAGGTATGAGCCCTATAACAAAATCAATAGGTCATACACAAAAAAAATGAGCAAGAGGTGGCAAGACCCAGACTGGGGGCTAGAGAGATGGCTCGGTGGTTAAGAGCCCTTTCTGCTCTTGCAGAGGCCTCAGGTTCAATTGTCAGCATCCATATGTTGGTTTACAACCATCTGTAACTGGTTCCAGTTCGGACCTCCTCTTTTGAACTCTGAGGGCACTAGGCACAGATGACACACATTGCATACATGCAGGCAAAACACTTATATACATTAAAAAACAAACAAACCAGCCCATTGAAGGCGGTAAGAAACGTACTATATAAGGCCATGACTTTATAAGAAGTAAAACACTGAAGGGATTTAAGCTGAGTCTGTCATTTATCATCTGACTGGTTTTATTTTGAACATTTATTACTCTGTGTGTGTGTGTGTGTGTGTGTGTGTGTGCACACGTGCGCGCGCACCAGCCATCTCACACGTGTGCTGGTCAGGAGTCAGTCCTCTTTTCCCACCATGTAAGCACTAGGGATCAAACTCAGGTCATCAGGTCAGGATTGACAGCAAACGCCTTTACCTGCTGGGCCTGAGATATCTTGCTGGCCCTATCATCTCATTTGAAGAGATTCCTGCTGGACCTGGAGCATTCTAGGTACTGGGTTGGTGGTATTTATTATAGTTCTTTTGTCTGTTTTATCACTTGGACTGGAGTTCTATGAGAGCAGAGCCTTGACCTCCACACAGTGGCACAGGGGGCACAGCTCTGGCCACCTGCAGAAGTGTCTTCACTGTGTGGTAAGTCAGAACTTTCCCAGACACTCTGATGGCAGAACCCCAGCTAAGCTCTTGTACTGAAACTGCTTAGGAACTCTGCAGAGTTGAGGCTGAAGATGGTGATCAAGGCAAGGTTCGCTTGCTCAAGTTCTGAAGCTGAGCACCATCGCTACATTCCCCATAGGGTAAAAATTCTGAAAGAAAACACTAGTTTTGCATCTTCACTTTCATAAATATCTAAAAATAGGTACTTGTACTGGGTAGCATTGGCATTTTGAAATTAAAAGACATTTTCTTAATATATGTCTATGTACACTACTATGTAGTCCTGGCTTTTTTTTTAAATCACATAGGCTGTTCTTGAATTTATGATTTTTCTGCCTCAGCTGTCTGAGTGCTGGGATTAAACGTATGTACTACTACATGCGGCAAAACTTGAGTTTTTAAAGGAAAACATACACATCTATTTGGGAGGGGTGATCATTATGGGGCACATTTGGAGGGCAGTGCAGAAGTCGGTCCTCTCATTTCACCATGTAGGATCTAGGGACTGAACTCAGTGTCCGGTTATTGGCAAGCACTTACCGGCTGGGCTATCGTACTGCCCACAACTTTAGTTTGCAGTTAGTGATTGCAAACGGAAACACCCAATTCCCAAGGATTTGTTTTCATTTGCTTTTCTCTCTAAAGAATCAATATATTCTTTGAGTTTAAGAACCATTTTTTTTACATACATTATGTCTCCAGATATAGGTTAATGCATTCTATCCATGTATATTTCATTTTTGGTTTAATGCATTTCACAAAAAAAATCATAGTTAATACTCTTTTTAGGCAAGGTCTCACTTTATAGTCCTGTCTGGCTTGGAACTCACTACATAGACCTGGCTAGCTTCAAACTTAAGAGATCCACCTACCTCTGTCTTCCAAGTGCTGGGATTAAAGACATGTACTACCATACCTGACCCATAGCTAAATTTTGCCTTCAAAAGTTTATTTACTCAAGTTATCAAACGTCCCGTTTTGTGATTTTTTTTAGGCTAATATCAATTCATGTTGTATTTAGAGAAATGTTTTACAATAAAGAACATCTTTTAAAAATAATTTTATTTTTGTGTATATCTGGGTGAATGAATGTTCTGTGTTTGTGTGTATGTGTTTACAAGTTCCTCAATAGTGGGAGTCAGATTCTCTGGAGCTGAGGCAGTTATGAGTTGCCTGACACAGATGCTGGGAACTGAACTCAGGTCCTCAGAAAGAGCAGTAAGTTCTTTTAATGTCTCTAGCCCCGTGTACAGTTTTTGGTGGGGCAGTTGTACCATGTCAGAGTAGGAATGACCCAAACACCCCACTTAAGAGATGGAATAAAGACAACTACAGATGTTCCCTAAAGCAGTGATTCTCACAGGGATAGTATATGCTAGAGGCCTTACAGAAATCTAGGCAACTATCATTTGAGATAGTGCTTCCTATACCCTAGGTTGGCCCTTGAAGTCTTAATTATCTTGCCTCATCCTCTCAAGCACTGGAATTATAGGTGTGTACCAATACCTGGCTATTTTGAGGATCTGAGACAACATCTTACTCGCTAGCCCAGGCTGGCCTCAAACTCATAGTGATCCTCTCACCTCAGTTTCCCCCTCTAAGATTCTAGGAGTGAGCCACCATGTTGGCATATGGGGAACTTTCTGGTTGTTACAATAACAGCGTGGAGGAGAAATGGCACATCACTGTCATTTCTCACTGATTCAGAGATGTTATGATATCATCAATGGTGGGAACAGTTATGTAACAAAGAACTGCCCTATGTCCTTCACTGCTTCTGCATTCCTCATCTAACTCCTGTTGTAGTTATCTAAGGCACAAACCCAATTCCAGTGTGCAAGGAGCACAGGCTTTTTATTTACTAAGTTTACAGAGAGGAAAACACTCAGTAAACAGGGAAAATCCAACTTGGTTCTGTGTAGGCTTCTCTGCCAAGTAGTAAACATTCACAGACAGCACTGCCTCTGGGACATCCATCTGCTTTAGCTTATACCTGACCTGTCTGTGATTTTACAGCTCAACAGGAGCGTGCATACGACATCTTGTAGGACAGCTATGCACAAATATGCACATATGAAATACAAAGCATCTTACCACTTTTCTATTTCAACTGAGAATTACAAGGGCATTATGCTGCTTTAAAAAAGTTCTCGAAAGCCAAGCAGCAGTGGCACATGCCTTTAATCCCAGCACTCAGGAGGCAAGGGCAGGCAGATCTTTGTGAGTTTGAAGCCAGCCTGGTCTCCAGAATGAATTCCAGGACAGACTCCAAAGCTACACAGAGAAACACTGTCTCAAAAAAACAAGCAAACAAAAACCAAAGTTCTTGAAAAACAAACAAAAGTTTTCATATATGCACTGCACCAAGTGTGAATTTTATCTGGGAAATAGAAAAAGAGCTGTGGGTCTGATGCCCTTCAGAACCATCACTGTAAGGCTGGAAGGTGAAGCAGGGTAGAAAACTGCAGCATACAATTATGATCAGTTTGGGTTAGTGTCAATACAAAATTCTAACCCCAAGAACTCTGGGAAAGCCGTTTATTTCTCTGGCTTTTCTTTAACAGTAACTTTCTTTAACTGTAAAAGAGGGTTTAGGATAACATGTTTAATTGTGAGGATAAAATGAGAATTAATTTATAGAAAATAGAAAATGCTGAATGAAGCCAGGCAGTGGTGGCACACCTTTAATCCCAGCACTTAGGAGGCAGAGGCAGGCGGATCTCTGTGAGTTTGAGGCTAGTCTAGTCTACAGACAGCTCCAAAAGTACACAGAGAAACCCTGCCTTGAAAAACCCAAAGAAAAAAAGAATGAGGGTGGAAAAGTGATTTAGTGGTTAGTGCACTTGCTGTTTTTTTTATATTTAGTTTTTTATAATTAGTTTATTTTTATATTTTAAGTGCATTGGGTTTGGCCTGCATGTATGACTGTGAGACAGTGTCGATTTCCCTGGAACTAGAGCTACAGACAGCTGGGAGCCACCAGGTAGGTGCTGGGAATTGGACCTAGGACCTCTTGAAGAGCAACTAGTGCTCTTAACCACTGAGCCATCTTTCCAGCCTACACATGCTGTCCTTGCAGAGGATTGTGGTTCAGTTCCTAGCTCCCACACGGCAACTATCTGTAACTCCAGCTCCATCACCCTCTGGCTTCCCACAGGCACTACACACACACACATAAGCAAACAATCACAGAACAAAATTAAAAGTTTTTTTTCTTTTTCTGTTTTTTGAGACAGAGTCTCTTTATTATGCAGCTCTGATTATCCTTGAACTCACTATGTAGACCAGGCTGTCCTATAACTCCCAAAGATCTACCTGCCTCTGTCTCCTGAGTGCTGGGACTAAAGGTGTGTGCCACCATGCTCAGCAAAAATAGATATTTTAAAAATAGAAATACAATTTAAACGTCTGAGCTCTCCTAATTTTGCATCTTTTATAGTTTTCAAGTCTGTACAAGGCTAACTTCCTAAGGTTAGCTTCAAGGAGGGGTGTCTCTAGTCAGTTTCAAAACTAAAGTCATAAAAAAAAAATTAAAAAAAATTAAAAAAAAAAAAAAACTAAAGTCATACAAAAATAACCATAGTGGCTACTACTGGAGAATGGAAAGAGCCTAGGCTTGGGCACCACGATATCTGTCTAAAAGTCCTAACCTATCACTAAAGTCTCAATTTCCATAAAATGCGATGATAGCGTCTACCACATTGAATTGCTTTGGGTTTTAAATAAATTAATAATTGTAAGTGCTTACCAGTGCACCTGCTGTAGAATGTTTTATAAAGCTGGCTGATTATTATTATTTTTCTCAGCATAAGTAGGAAAGACAACTGAAAATGGCAAGGCTGCATATTTTTGGGGGTCAGGGTCTCATTTAGTTCAGGCTGACCATCAGACCTCAGGCAGCTTGAGCTTCTGATCTTCCTGCTCCGCCTCTGACTCCTGGGATTATAAGGCTTACACTGACACATCTGCCTTGTGCACGGTGGGGAATCTAAACCTGGGCTTCAGGTACAGAGTGCAATTGCTGTACCAACTGGATTACATTACCATCTCACTGGTTAAGAAGTGGTTTTTTGGTTTTGTTTTGCTTTTTTTTTTTTTCTTAAAAAAAAAAAAGACAGGTTTCTCTGTGTAACAGCCCTGGCTGTCCTAGAACTCTCTTTGTAGTCCAGACTGGCCTCAAACTCACAGAGATCTGCCTGCCTCTGCCTCCTGAGTGTTGGGATTAAAGGTGTGTACTACCACTGCACAGCTGAAAATAACTTTTAAATACAATAAAACAGAAGGGATATTTTTTTCATCACTGTTTTCTGTAGAAACGTCTGAACCTGACACTCTTTGTTAAAGTAAGCGATTCCTAGGCAATCTGGACATGTTAAGATAGTTTTTCTTCAGATAGTCTCTGAAAATGATTAAAACAAGTGACTGAAAACTCTTATTTATTTTAACGTAGAGCGGCATGTATCTGTACTGAGGTTATGTGTCAAAGTTCTGTCTCCATAGGAAAACAGTGTAAGAAGGCATGTGAGGAAGAGCCTGCCTCCACATCAGGAGGAGAGCGATCATTACAATTCCTTACATCTCTCTGTGGCAGTCTCTCCAGACACTTCATTTCTTAGCAGCTAAGCAGACCATTACAGTTTTTGGTGGAATGATTACAAAAATCGCTTGGTTATATGTTTGCAGAACTAATGGTAATAATGCATCTGGCTTTCAGTAGGCACTCTTAACAAAGGAATGGAGCAGAAAACCTGACTGATGGTTGGCCATTAGCCTAGCAGTATTAACATTTACTTGAACCCTTAGTACGTTCCAGGCCCTGTGCTAAAGGCTATCATCTAATTCAAGCCACATGACTGCTCTACCTGTTAGGTAGGTACTGTTATTAACCCCATTTTACAGACAAAAGCAAAACAGAGATAACCGCCAAGTTCAACCTACTAGTAAGGGGAGAGAGGTAAACTCGGGAAAAGTGATAAAATCCGTTATTTTTTTTGACGAAGGTCACTCAGGAGCGAGGGCGGCAGGACAGGAGGAGGGTACTGACCTGTCAGACACTTGTTCTTGGGTGAGCTTCTTGTCGCTCTGCAGCAGGATTGATACGTAGTGGCGGATCATGCCCACGAAGAAAGTGATGATAACGATGGGCAGGACCACCCAGAGGCGGATGTTGGAGTCGAGCAGAAGCTCGGGCCCCGCCATCTTCGCTGAGAGCTTGCTTTGTGTTGGGAGGAGCTGGGTTTCTCCCACACTTCGGCTCCGGGCCTTCACTCGTCCCTCCGACTGACTAGTATGGAATCTGGGACAGCCTCGCTATCTCGACCGACTGTTTCCAGCTGGGCCGTCGGGCCGCCAACTTCCGGCGCGGAAGCGGACGTCACACGCCGGCGCGGTTTCGATGGCGTCGGAACGGCGTTCTGTCAGGCGGGAAACTCGAAAGCTAAGGGAGGCGACTGGCGGCCTGCAGGTGAGTGGCGTCGCGTCCCTGCAGGCTACTGTTCAGGTCCAGACCTAGCGCGGCCTGACTCTAGGACCCCGCGGTTCAGCCTCGGCCTCTTCATCCGCTCTGACACGGGATAACCCCTTAGGTCCTACCTTGCTTGGGTTACATGACCAAGTGAGCAAGGCTTTTACCCCAAATCCATTAAAAGGAGTAAGATAAAGGCCTTTTAAGCTTTCTCGGAAGTTGGATAATGTCATTTCGAAGATAGGCGGCTCTGATTTGCTCTACTGTTTCCACTTGAACAATGGCTGTCAGGGGTTACATGTAGTAGGTAAGAAATTTTAACTTTCAGTGTTACACATTTTGGCTAAGACTTATTTAATGTATATGTCAGTTTTGTCCTCGTGTATTTATGTCCACCACGTGCATACAGGAACCTGAGGGGGTGCAGATCTCCTGGAACTGGAGTCACAACGGGAAGTTATGAGGCACTTACATGGGTGGGAACTGAACCTGGGTCCTCTGAAAGAGCTCATTAACTCAGTAGAAACCGTTGTCATAAGTAAGATTTAAGAACTGATGGGAGCACCGATGCTCATTGGGTGGGCGCCCATGCCTGTAGTCATAGCTTTCCCTGGGTGGAGGCAGGAGGACCAATTGGTCATCAACATTGGCTCTATGGGTTCCCGACCATACAGGACCACCCAAGACCCTCACCGTTGAAAAGAGCCAAAACAAACAGCACAGATTCTAGGCGACATGAGGCCTTGTCTTAGAACCGAAAATAAATTCATGAATGAACAAAACAAGGAGTGCAGATTCTGGAGCCAGGCTCCCAGAGTCAGAATCCTGGCCCTTCCCCGATCAAGTGAGTACCTGGCCGAAGTCAGCGTGTGAGAAATAAGTGGATTATAATTAAAGCACTTAAGACGGGGTTTTTGTTTTGTTTTTGAAACAGGGTCTCAATGTATATCTGTAGCTGGCCTAGAATTTAACTGGTCACTATGGAGACCAGCCAGTCCAACCTACATGGTGAGGCCCTGTCTTAAAAATAAACAGGTGCGGGAGAAGTAGCTCAGTGACTAAGAGCACTTGTTGCTCTGCAGAGATGCGGGTTTGTTTCCCAGCACTCAAAGAGTGGCTCACAACCGCCTGTAACTTCATTTCCAGGGGATCCGATGCCCTCTTCTGGCCTCTGTGGGCATCAGGTGTGCTCATGGTCCACGTATGTAAGTACAGTTAAATATTCATACACATAAAGTTTAAATATTTTCAAAGTAAGAAATGAAAATTCCTGTCTTTGGCCGGAGAGTTCTTGCCTAACATATGCAAGGCTGTGGTGTTGAGGGGAAACAAGTGTTGAGGGAAATTGTCCCTGCTTTTCCTCATCGCTCCGCCTATTGCTAGACTAACTGGCCTCACCCGCCCTCACAGTACCTCGTTTGTAGGGTTACTGTCTGTGTAACATTGCAGTTAGACAGATGTAGTTAAATACCGTAAAGACCTTGGTATGCTGTAAGCTTCCTGAGAGCAGGGTTGATGTCCGTCTTGTCTGCAAGTTTGACACAGTAGTGAAGTAATCAATAGAGAGCAGGTGGATGGGGCTAGGTCGTGGTCTGCGTCTCAGTTGAAGAGCTATGGCTTCCTTAGCAACAGAGAAGGAGTCTGGTGAGCAACTTCGTCAATCGTAATGAGTCTTTCTCATTCTGCCACGTGTCTCATGGCTGTTGCCTCTACACCTGTACATCCTACTTGTTCTCTGTCTCCTGGCGCCTCTCCCTTCTTCCCAGAGTCCTCTCTATCCCCCCAAAATCCCGCCTATACCTCCTGCCTACCTATTGGCCATTCAGCTCTTTATTACACCAATCACAGCAATATAGCTTCACACAGTGTACAGATATTCCACAACAACAAATATGTCTTGATATGATATCTATTGGCTAGCTGTAGAGCTAAAATGTGCTCAGCATTTAGATTTAGACAGTATTAATGTGAAGACCCAAACCTTCTGCTTATGGATAGAACTGTTTTCAAAAGACAGTTTGTCTCTGTTTGTTAGTTCTTCTGGTGTTTGGGGTAAGCAATGTATCACTGAGCTAAATACCCAACCCCTGGATTTTTTTTTTCCTTAGGAAGTAATATAAGTACAGAAGACATTGGTCAAAATGGTTTCCAAAAGAAGACGGTCAGACTCTGAGGATAAAGAAAACATAACAGAAGATGCCTCCAGTAAGTACCTAGCCTTTTACTGTTACATTTGTATCACAGATATGTGAGATAGAAAAATATGCAAAATTCTTTTCAAGTGCTGACGTCTGTCAAGGATTAGTGGAGAGAACACAGAGATTCTAGGAGATTAAGGATTGAGTTTATTCCTCAAACGTCACTTAGGAATTTTGGACCACTTCTGAGCCTCACTCTTTACCGTCATAAAAATAAGTTTTATATACACTGGGTAGGTGATTGAGTGGTTAAGAGCACTTGCTGCACTTGCAGGGGATCTGGGTTTATTTCCCAGCACCCACATGGCACCCCAAAACTGTCTTTAACGTCTGTTCCGGGGGATTCGATGCCCTGTGACCTCAGAGGCACCATAGATTCATGTGGTACATCTAGGTTCAGGTGGACAGTTACACACATTAAATAAAAATAAATCTTTGCCAGGTGGTATTGGTGCACACCTTTAATCCCAGTACAAGAGAGGCAGAAGCAGGCAGGTCTCTGTGAGTTCGAGACCAGCCTAGTCTACAAAGTTAGTTCCAGGACAGCCAGTGCTGTTACACAGTGAAACCCTGTCTCGAAAAACCAAAAATAAATGAGTGAATGAATAAATCTATCTATCTTTACAAAAAATTATTACAGAATCATTATCTAGATCCTAGAAGACAGAGAAAAGAAATCTTCACCCTTTAGAAAAGCAGCTGGGCCGGGCATGGTGAGACATGCTTTTAATCTCAGCACTTAGGAGGCAGAAACAGCAGGATTGCTGTGAGATTGAAGCCGGCCTGATCTATATAGGGAGCTCCAAATCTTAACTTGTCTTCTTTTACCCCTAAGAATGTTTTTTTTTTTTAAATATTTATTTATTTATTATGTATACAATATTCTGTCTGTGTGTCTGCAGACCAGAAGAGGGCAGCAGACCTCATTAAAGATAGTTGTGAGCCACCATGTGGTTGCCGGGAATTGAACTCATGACCTTTGGAAGAGCAGGCAATGCTCTTAACCACTGAGCCACCTCTCCAGCCCATACCCCTAAGAATGTTGTGCTATAATAGTGATAATATAAAGAAAAGTCATAGCCAGGCAGTGGTGGCTCATGGCTTTAGTTCAAGCACTCTGGAGACAGAGGCAGGCAGACCTATGTGAGTTCAAAGCCTGCCTGGTTTACAGAGTAAGTTCCAGGACAGCTAGAACTGTTAAACAGAGAAACCCTGTCGGGGGGGGGGGGGGGGACCAAACAAAGAGAAAGAAGGAAGGAAGGAAAAAACAGTAAAGTCCTATCAAAGCAAGCAAGTCACTAGCAAACAAATAGTGCATACTCTGACCAAATGAAAATTCAGTTGGCAAAGATGCTAAGAAGAGTTCTGGAAAGGAAGCTGAGGAATGGCTCAGCTAGTGAAGCGCGTGGCAAGCATGAGGACTCATGTGATCCCCAGAGCCCTGGAAAGGTGGTGGGTCCAGTTCTGCATATGTAATTCTAGTGTTGAGGTGGTGGAGTCAGGAAGCTTGCTGCGGCTTGCTGGCCAGTCAACCTAAAATACTCAGCCCCAGTGAAAGACTGTTTCTGAAGTCAAGGTGAGGTAAAGGCATTTGAGCAGACCAGGCAACCTGAGTTCAGGTAGGAAAGGACTTACTCCAAACTTGTCCTCTGACCTCACCCTCATGGTGTACACATGTTTTTAGAAACGTACACATATCTAAGTGAGTACAATTTTTTAAAAATCAAATTGGGTACCTCCTGAAGAACACTTGATGTTGACCACTGGTCTAGGCCACACACACACACACACACTACATATAAAACTAGTTCTAAATTGCATTTTGCACTTGTTTGCGAGCCTTCTTGGTTGGTTTTGTTTTTCAGATAGGGTCTCATATAGGCCATGTTGGCCTCAAAACTCACTTCCTGAGTGCTGGGATTACAGGTGTGCACCACCACACCTGACTTCTGCTGTCCTGTCAGCTAGCGTCCTACTCGACGTCCTGTTGAACAACTCAAGGCTGAGACCCCTTTTCCTTCTTGAGCACTAGGGACTGAACCTAGGCCCTCAGACATGCTAGGAAGTGTACCACAGAGCTCCTGTCCTAGCCCTCTGTTTGCTTTGTATTTCTGCCACTAAATTTTTTACTCTGACCTCAAACTCAATTTTGTAGCCCAAACACATCTTGAACTTTATCCTTTTGTCTTGGCCTCCTGAGGAGCTACGATTACAGGCCTACCCCAGAGATCAAGCAGGAAAAGCTTGAGTTAGACAAAGAAATTCTAAATTTCTACAAGTCTCTTAGCAAAGGGATTGAAGAATATGAAAAATTGGTAAAAAATTTGAAACTGAAAAAAAAGAATTTAGAAAATGGGTAAACAAACCAGCCATGGTGACATGTGCTTTAATCCCAGCACACAGGAAGCAGAGGCAGGTGGATCTCTGTGAGTTCCAGGACAGCGTGCTCTGTGTAATGAGTTTCAGGTTAGCCAGGGTTGCATAGTGTAACCTTATCTTAAAACAAAAGCAAGCCAGTTGCACATCTTTAATCCCAGCACTCGGGAGACAGAGGCAGGAGGATCTCTGAGTTCAAGGCCAGCCTGGTCTACAAGAGCTAGTTTCATGATAGGCTCCAAAGCTACAGAAAATCCTGTCTCGAAAAACAAAAAACAAACAAACAAAAAAAAAAGCAAAACTCCCAG